ATATTATTTTGCATCGAGATAGGTGTTTGTGTGATATTAACAAAGAGAATAATAAAACATAAAATAAGTATGGTAATAATTGCAAGAAAATGATTGGTGCGCAACAATATATACATAGATGCGAAGCACATCGAAATACTCACCAACAAACCTCCTCATATTGCTCGTGATATTAAGTTTTGACGAGTTAAGATGCTCAACACAGTCGTTCTTTGTACACACGTCCATTGCCGATTGTTAGACTACTTTCTACGAATGTGCATGTGCAAGCCCCATGTTAGTTTTATGCGGGTTGATTAATTATACCATCCCATGTGTTAACTGTCCCATGCTAACTAATCCATCATTCTAATCCATCATCATGTTGAAAACAGAATGAAGAGCGAAATGACGAGCGCCGATGAAAATAAGCTTACCTTCGCATGGCCATCTTCTTCCTTGTAATCCTGGTAATCAAGACCATTGGTACCGTAACTAATACGATACTCCTTAACATACTCGTTCTGTGACGATCGTCCTCGAGTTGCTATGTGTGTGATGTTCATCACTTGGCCCAAGTCGACTATTAAATACTGACCGAAATCTGAACTGCTAGCCGTCCAAGCGTTTTCGCCTACACCACAACATTTATGCATGCATGCAACTCAAGGTAAACTCAGAAAATACGTAAACTTAAGAAAGTGTTTACAAATAACGAGACAGAAATAGCCGAATAATTAAGTCTAACAGAGCCTTGCTTTTATATCCAGAGACAAATGTACGATTACAAATTTATACATTGCAAACTCAGACTTTGCAGACGTAGAATAAATATTCTTTTCCAAAATTATATAACAATTCTCGAGGAAAAATGTAAAAAAGTTATCAAAATTATTGATATACGATTTTAATTTTTGGATTACATTAAAATTTTTTACGCTTTTCGATATAAAAATCACAAAATACAAAAGGATATATTTTTTATAATTTGACAGACTGTAATATATTGCATATGAAGTTCTTTCTTTAATATATTTATAATTTGTCAAAAGGTAAGAAAAGAAATTATTGGAAAGAGTATTGCTTAGTGTGCTTTATTATTTCGCACTCGAATATACAATGTATAATGCATTTATCGTTATTACTATATTAAAAAATATTGTCTTTCGTTACTATGGCTTTTCTGATTTAGCAAAATATTGAACCGTGTATTTTGAATCTATTGGAAAGAGTGGAATTGCGCGCTCCATAAGTTTATTATAATCTATTATCTCAAATATGTTATGTGATTGTGATGAATCATCGTTTTCTTGTAATGCTACAGCAACGCAATGCTGCGAGTCAAGCAAAGTTTCTTCAAACAACCAATCTTGCTTGATTCCATCGATATATAGAACTGTATCAGTTGTAACAGAGTCTTTGCTCAATTCGGAATTGGTTCGAAAATCCAGACTTTTTAGATCAACTAAAACGCCTATACCAAGCGCTTTAAGATAGCTTTCTTTCAACGCCCAGTGTCTATAAAACATAGATATTTGTTCTATTTCAGATTTCTCTGGAACAGAACCTTCAATCTCTTCCCACTCGGCCGGCGAAAAGTTTCTCTTCATCGTATTGAGAAATTCAGACATGCTTTTGCCCCTGATATACTCTAATGACATAACATCTACGCCTAATTTTACATTCCTAATCTCGCCCGCTAAGACCGTGTAAGAGCCGTGATGGGAAACATTGAAACTTACAACAGTGGAATGATCTTTCAATATAGGTCTGTTGTGCTCGTCTCTGATAAAAGTAATTTTGTCGTATGGAAGACCTGCGTACTCATTCACAAACTTTCTCATTAATAATCTACCTACAAGGGAGGCTCTTACATCTTTACGATACACAAATTTCCCTAATCTGGCTTTCTCGTCGCTCTGTACACAAGCAACTGCATACTGAAACTCTCGTTCGCTTGGATTCCACTCTTTCCAATTAAATGCCCAACGAATGACTGACGACATTCTAAAAGTATTGACACTAAGCATAACCACTAATATTATTTAATCGCAATTTGCGTATCCTGTGTGCTCTTTGGTTCGTTTGGAACTGAACTTGGTAGTTTTAAATTGTCTCTGGTTATAAAAGCATATATTTTTCAAGATATCTTGTCTAAGATACTCTCCGGGTTACTTGCTAGAATCCACCTAAAGCAAATATAAATTTATTACACTTTGCTTCAATCCAACAAATCATTACTTATAATGAAAATAAAGTCGCTCAAATACAAGAGACGAGCACAAAATAATTGAATGATGTGTCATGAGATCATATCTACTTCTCCATAATTGACCATAATTGTCATAATGGTCGCCATGTCATGTCAGTGCCCCCAGTGCTAATTAAATTTTTCAAGTCTTATCGGAATCCATTGAAAAATAATGCATTAGCAAAATCAATTGTAACTATTAATTATGCAAATAGAAGCAAATATAGCACGCAATACAGTTGACAACAGAGTTTACTAATAGGATTTACAAGTAGAGAGTAAGCAAGAAATTACTACCAATACATATAAATAAAAGAAATAATTGTTTAACAATTTATACCTAATAATGAAAACAAAATCTAATAATGAAAAGAATTCTTTCTCTCACCATCTAGCCTGGCGTTCTTTGGACCTCTTTCAGGTAAGGAACTGGTTGCTTTTATATGAGCTCTATCCAAAAGAGCAATGTTGCATTCGTCCTCATCTAAGACACAAATTTACAACATTGCTTTGTTAAATTGTTAAGTTTTATACCTTTTTACAGACTATTTTGATATGTACATTTTTTACAGATTATTTTGATATGTACATTTGAAAACAAGGAATATTAAAATTCCCATAAATATGATAAAATAGCATTATAAATTCACTATTCGATTACAAGAAATTTGAATAACTGAAATAAAACAAAGTGTGCAAAATATAATGCAATCTCAAAGGTAAGATTTTGTAGTAAAACATATTCCTCATTGTATCAAATATATACATTTACTAATTTACTATACAGGGTGGTCCATGGAACTGGGCTGGGTTCTAGCGTTTGTTCTGTTGAAGATAGAAAAAAATAGTGGAAACAAAAGTTAAATGGCATAATATAAAAAATTTTTCTATCAACTCATTTTTTCTATCTTTAATAGAATAAGTGCTAGAACCCAGTTATATGGACCACTTTGTATATTATTGCATTAACATATATATGTATAGATTCTTGATATAGAAACCAAAAATCGCATTATTATATAAAACATATGATGTTGCAAAATATAAAATGCAGAAAAACGGACTGCCAGATGCAAAACGCAAATAACGCAATTTAGTGTGCTGTTATGCATCTTTACTTGGGTTAATGCTAGTACGAGCACGCCATGTTACTTCGGGATGGGCTGGGTCATGCCAGGAAGTTAGTTCGTATTGTAGCGGTTATATCGTACTTACAGTATGTATATGCGAATGAGCTTGCCACTATGGCGAATATATACACAAGACACTTGAAAGCGGTCATCGTATCATCGCCTTGCACTACAAAATGCTTCTTCCTTGAGAAAATTCCTCGGCTACGCCGATGATTCAACCAATTGAGCGAGAATAACGTTGGACCACGCTGCAATCAATCTACCTTGTATACTTCGTTTGGTCGAAATTATCGTTGAACACTTCTACGTCTGCGTTCGCGGCTAGCGTACGCATTCCGCGCCAGACCTCGGCGTTCCTTATTTTTCCAAAAAAAATCTCACTCAATTCCGCTCTGATCCGTTACAACACTAACCGCGCTCACCAATGCACGCTGATACACGCCAATGACGTGAATCAACTTGAATGACGTGATCTGATATGTGCCGCGCCTTGGCTTGATTCTTTCCGGTGTATTGTTGTATTGAATCGATTATTCGACGTCACAGGTGTAAAAAAATAGGGAGTCCGACAATAAGGAAGGTGCGCTACGCCATATTATTGATATGGAAAACGTGGGAAATATAATAATTTAATATTATTAGTAATAAACACTCGTTTTTGTTCATAGCCAAGGATGCCCCATCGCGTCCAGCGAATGTCACCATCTAGCGACGTCGCGATGAAGCGTTTAGTGACGCATTACCGCTGGATGGCAAATAAAAAATTCCTGATTTTTTTACCTGCAGCCAAAGGACGCCCTATCGCGTCAATTTTCTATGGTGCCATCATCTAGCGGAAGTGCACCGTAAACTTTTAATAAAATTGGCAAAACTACCATACACGATTTAATTTTGCATTGATCATTCGACTTGGAGCGGAGAAAATGGTATATATGTTTCGCATACTCGATTTTATGAATCGCTTGTTGAAGCTATTTTTATAATTCAGAGGTACATTACATTTATAATACATTTTGCGTAACATTTATAATGTAGTAATAAGAATAATAAACTCCGTAGAACATTGTTATATGTAGATTGTGACTCGCTATTTTTCAGGACAATAATTTCATCATTTTTAAACACTGATTTAATGCGTGATCGTTGCAGTTTGTCTGCTGTGCGAACACACGTAAGAATTGGATGCGGAAATGGTGGCAGGAGCGGTACTATTCTTTTCTGCAGGAGCGAAAGGCTGCACATTCGACAGGCCGGAGGTTTCCGCGCATCGATCCTGCGTATCTAAAGAAGCAACTACGATCGCGTACGATGGTGGATCCTCATACTTGTCGTCCCCGGATCGATCAATGGTCAATATCGTTGGAGCAGAGGTTGGTGTCTGCACGGCTACCACGGACGCGTAGGACGGCGGTAAATCCACACTCAGGTGAGCCGCGTACACCGATGATTCTTGCTGTAAACAAAAAAAAAGCAAACGCATGAATTTACAGAAATTTTGCGCACTTTGCGACAAGTAACAATTCATTGTAAGATAAATCGCAATACCTCTCTGCGAGTAGCAGCTGTCATGCCCGAAATAGTGCGAATTGCTGCTCTCCTCTGCTCCTCGAGTAAAAGCCTCGCGTGAGCTTTCTTCACGTTATAAGCGGTATATCCGCAGACCAACAGAACGAGCATCGTCAATACCATCAAAACAATCCACATGTAATCCCATCGTAGCAATATCGATGCTATCATTGCTGTCAGCACCCATGCGACCAGCAGGGTGGCTAGCGCGCGACCGGAACAGTCCGCGTCCTGAACATTTCGTATAATAGACATACTTTCGGAGTTTTGGATTCACCTTGTCTAAGACGAAACGATTACTTTTTTTTTCCTTCTGATTCGCTGTATTAATTGCGCTGATAATGGCTGCTTAAGACATTTAATCCGATCGTTTATTCGATAACGCGCAAAACTGATAATTTTTTCATCGCGATCGGCCAATTTGACCTCGTGTCGAGTGCACGATTGATAATTGTCGAGCGTTCTTAATTATTAGCGAGGTACGTACCATCAAAACCAGAAAAAACATCCTGGATGTGGCCGGAGACAAACTCCTTCGCGTAACAAACTAATTATCGTTATTAAAATCTACCGGCTTATCATTGAGCATAGATATCGCGTATTCGTGACAAGCGACCGAGCTGATACAATAAAGTCGTATCGCACGTTTTGCTCGTGCTTTTCCTGCACGGATGTATTTTCAATGAGTCAATTATGTCGGAGCGATACATTAATCGATGGCGTGATCAAAATTATTCCAACTTATCGTGAAGCATCACGCATTAGCGGCAAAGTGCTTACATTATTTTACATTAGCGTGTCGTAATGGATCGATATTTGGGTGTGCAAAAGTATCTAAATTTACATCAACCCATTATTCAGCAAGATGTTGCTGTTTCGTCCGTAGTCTCTTGATTTCACGAGATGTCTAAAATAAAATATGCAGTAGTAAAAATTCCAAGTCAGCTATTGACGTCAAAGTATTTAACGTCAAACTCATGCAGTTTGCACGAACATTTCTAGCGTCCGTGCGCGCGATCGGGCAATTTTATTAACAAAGGCCGGAAAGTAACTTAACAAATTAGAATGCAGACGGAATTAATAGTGTTAAATTAGCAATCGAAATAGCTTTCTTCTTTCGCACGCGTACAATACGTGAGCAATACTTGCCATCTGGTCGTATCTCTTGTGTGAAACGACAAATATTCTCAGATACGCGCATTACTGAAAGATATTTGTATTGGTTTACGGCGAATAAAAACTTGCGAATAAAATGACTCGAGTAGCCCGTGCGTTTCGTCGGCCGTGCCGCGACGTGAAAAACTAAGAAACGATATTCCACCTTTAGACGACGAGGTTTTACGACAACTAGGCGATAAACGAACAAAGCCCCCACTGCCGCGCGGAGCACTTATCACCTGCCAATGACGCGTACCGTTTTGCAAGCAGATAACGTCGATATTACGTGCTTTCAGATTGAGAGATGAAAAAGTCTTTCCATAACATTTGCTAGATTGATTACATTACGGAATGTACGTGTGTGTGAAAACTGAGCACTGCTGACGACATTACTATCGAGCAAAGTGTGCGTAAGTTTGTTTTGTCGAGCGACAAACAAGACGTAGCAAATTAGTGTCAACGACGATAATATTCGATGTTGTATGCGGGCCGTATGTTTCGCTAAAGGTCGTATCGATTTAAACAGCTTGTAACAGCAGGTACAATGTAATTTTCATTATCGCTATTCTACAATTTCAACGGATGGTCGGTCATTGTCCTATTCGAGACTGTCAATGTGAAAGAGGGATCTTCGAGAACTATTGTTATTTACGGTATGCCGCGCGATATCAGCATTAACGCGATTTCTTTATCTTACATCCATATGTACTATAATGCCCGAGCAGCAAACTTGGAATTGTCTTCAAAAAACGAAAGAACGAACGAGAATGTCACTTTTATTTAACGCGCCATCCATTCGACAACCGTGTCTGTCAGGAAAAATACATACTCGACGATATTTTTCATATACAATGTGTGGACTGAACGCGCACTCTAATGGATTTATTCTACGAAATGTACAAAAAAAAAAAAAATTCAACGCTCAGTTATATCACAATTGTAAATCGTATCAAAAGGATGTCTTTCTAATGTCAATCAGGGTCCAAATAGATTAGAAATCGAGATAAACGCTCGAAAATTGAAAATTTTTTGTTCAAAGTTCGCATTAATCGTCGTATTTTATTCGCGTGAAAGAAATAATGATTATTTGGACCGCGATTAAGATCTCTTTCGTACCACTTCGTACTCTTTCTTCCCTCCGTTTTTCAGTCTATTATTTTTTTTTATGCGTTTAACCACTCCCTAAATATATTCCCTAAATATAAAGTAATACGATCCGTGCCGAGACGGCGTGGGCTCGCTTTACATTTATTAGCATGTGGCAAGCGATATCGTGCGGGATATCGCGCTAATTTTTTACCTCTAAATAAAAACGGTGAAAAAGCTAATACGTAAGAAGTAACTCTAAGCACAATTGTTTACAAATTCTCTAGAATATGCCAAACGTATCCTACCTTCACTGTTCAAATACAGTGAGCCGCGACAGCATCGCTGAACTGGTAGAAAAAGAATTATTTGAGCAATGTATCAAATCGACTGTTTCTTTCCTTTCTCGAGATATAAGAATTCATAGATACAAGACGGTAATAGAAGGAACAGAATCGAATTAATGGCATTCAGTGACAAACGGTTGAGCCTTTGTTTAAACCAATAATCTGGGATTAAAGCGTCCCATGTGTAATATAATACCGGAGGGATTGTGCCGAACAAAGTACAAAAAGGGCCTGTCGAGTTTCAATTTCGGTTTCTCCGACGATCCGGAAAGCTGCCTTCTCTCTCTGTAGAATTGATCCATACGCGACTCGTCCCCGTGGAACAAACTCGCGTGGTCCTCTTGCGATGATACGCCGCTGTGTTGTCTCGGTGCATCCTCTTCCGCGCTTTTACCGAAATTGTCGGTGTCTTCCATCGGTTGTCGTTTGATATTTCTTCTTAGCGGGCTCGCGGGATACGTTTCCACGTGATGCCGACCACTGAGAATATTTTCGTCGCCACAGGTGCTGAATAGATTCATCTGTAAGGTTCACAATTGTGAGCACGTCGTGGAAAATGCTTTTTATCGACTAATACGAAGCGCGTGAATTTACCTGCAACACATCGGCCAAGTGAAGTCGGTGACCCACGCCATTGATGCCCTTGAAGTCGGCGTTGCCGGAGAAGAGCTCGTCGAGGCCCATTCTTTTCAAGGCGGCAGTGGCATTGATGACGGATCTGTGACTGAACTTGGGCACCTGCAGCTCCAAGCCGTTCCTCGGTATCAGAACTTTCAGAAGCTTGTTCCAGGCACCGTCGCGGAAGGCGCTTCTAACGAGACGTTGCTCGAGACGATCGAGCGTGTCGCCGGGCGCCGTGTGACCCTGCTGACCCGGCAGCAGGAAGATCGTGGAGACCAATTTCTCGCTCGCCCCGAGGGCGACCGCGGTGGCGTCGATGCTGGGTTCGTAGCCGGCCAGGACACCCGATCGCCAGGTGGTCGCCGGAACCGGGACGAGCTTCCGCTGTCTGACGGCCGGCGAGACGGCGAAGTACAACTCGCCGTCCCGGCCGACGGAACTGGTCAGCGTGCTGTTGCAATCGGTCTGGAATACATTGGCGGAGAGCGCCGCCAGGGGCGACCTCAGCGGCACCGTGTTCGTCTTGACGAAGTCCTTGATCCTACCGCCGGTCTGCTTCCTGATCAGCAAATTCGTCCTCCTGCGAACGAGATCGCTGATGGTCGCGAAGTTCACCTCGGTCACGAGACCCTCGTAGAACTGCTGGGCCTGCTCCTTGTAGAACGGCATCAGCTTCCTCACTTTCATCTTATCGGCGAACAGCTCGCGCACGAACGCGGCGTTCGCGATGCCCTGGCCTCTGGCCAGGCTCACCGTGTCGGTTATGTTCTGGAACACCAAGTGCGGATTGAACGTGGCCACGTCGTCGAGCCCGAGGATCTCGTTCATCTGATCGGACGTCGGGCCGCGAGCGCCCAGGAAGATCATCGCCAGCAGGCTGGTCATGCCGAACGGCGACAGGGCCAGCGACCTCGCGGTGCTCAGACCCTTGTTGGTGGCCATCCAGAAATTGAAGGCCAGCTCGTTGCACAGCCTGGCGAAGTTGACGATGTCGGAGCTCGTGTGTCTTATGGTGACGTCCAGGCCGCTCGCGCTCTGAGACGCGTCCAGCGGCAGCACCGACTGCAACGACAGGTCCTGCTGATCCTGCTGATGGGTCGCCTCGGTGCTCGGAGAGCGAAGATTGGCACTGTCATCCGAGCCGGACGTCTGTTGACCGACCGGTTTCCTCGGCGGCTTCAGCGGCCGCGGCGGCTTCGGCAGCTTCGTCATAGTTGGCGTGGCTTGTTGGGAAATAAGGGTCCACTTATCCTCCGCGCTTACAGGCGCGTCAGTCTTTGAGACGTTGAGTTTCTCAGCGGGCTTGTGCTCGATCGTAGGATGCTTCGACGTCTGATGGACCGGATTCGGTGTCGACGATTTGTAAGGATTCTCGGAATGTTTCAGAGCCGCGGGCTTACTCTCCGTGTCGTTCAAATTCGCCTGCATTGACGCGTTCTTCGTCGACAGTTCGGTAATACTGGACACATCTTTATTCTGATTTAAGAGTGTATTATTAGCGGAGCTCAAACTATCCGTACCGTTGGCCAGACTCGGTCGTGAAAGTTCCTCTTTCTTCGAGTCGCCCGATAATTTCTGCGCTGCTATCGGGCTGTCGGTGCTTGCATCCGTCTGGATCGACGGCGTAGACGACGGACTATCGTAATTGTTCTTGTTATTCTGTACGGCTATGCGATTGCTGGTCGCGGCGTACGGCGTTGTCAGCGTGGCCACGTTAGTATCTTTGATTTTGTGGACAGTTGTCGGTTCGGTGACGTGATTTTGCGCAAGCACGGACTTGGTGGAACTTCCATCAGTCACGAGGGTGGTGCTCGAAGCAGCAGCATTCGTTGTAATGTTACTGATATGTTTGTGAGAGTGAATTTCAGCGGTTTCCTTCGTTTCCGACGCGTTTGTCAAGGATTCTTTCTTATCTAACGTCTCGATTCTTTGATTATTTTCTACATGCGTTGCATTTTTTATATCATTTTTAGACGAATCGATTTTGTATATAAATTCATCCGGACTCACGTCTATCCTTATGTTCGGCGCTTCCGTTGTTTTCAGCTTCTCTTTGTTTTCCGTTTTCTTCTGATTATCATTATTCTTGTCAAACAGCGTCTCGTTGACATTTGGCGATTGGATCTTCATCGTTGACAACTGTTCAGGACGCACGGTAACAATTCTCGTAGTAATCGTGCTTTGTGCGCTGCTCTTCAATTCATCGCTAATAGCGATTTTATTTGGCGAGAGAGACGAAGATGCCTCTGCGGAATCCTCGAGTTTTTCGTTTGACAATTTAATCGGTTTCGATGTCTTATCTGTTTCCTTCGTCTGCGAAATCAATTCTAACGTGTCGTTTCTAGCTGGATGCTTGAAGAATGGCTGTTGCGTAACATTTTTCCGATAATCGTCATTCAGTCCCGTAGTTTCTTCGTACATTTGCGTGACGTTTTCAATCGATTCTGCAAGCTTCGTTACGTCCGAAATGGTTGCACTCGATGTATCCTTCGCCACTTGATCCTCGTCGGTTTCCTTGACGGGCGATTTTGTCGCGAATCCGGCAATGAGACCACTCGCTAAATCACTAGCTACGAAATTGGACGTGTCGCTGGGCAAATCGATCGGTTCGATCGCGGGAACGCTAGACAGTAGCGATGCGAGGTTCAATACTTGATCAATCGCGGACACCGGATTGCTCAAGTTCAAATTCGCGAGGGCGTTGTCGAAGTTAATCGCCGTGGGTTTGTTTAGAGATTCGTTCGACGCGATTGTCGATTGCGCTTTCGTGGTCGCATCGAGTGCCGTCGAAGCGGTGGGCAAAATTTCAGCCAACGTGGTTTCGTCGTTAGCCGCGTCAGTGGCGGTGGCAATCTCGAGAGTCGCGGGAGCTGCGGTCTGATCTTCCAGCGAAGCGTCGTGAGTTTTTTCCGACTGAGTCCATAACGGCGATATCGTCGACTCCGAAATCGTTGTCGATTCGATACTTAATCCAGCTGGCGTGATCGCTGCACCGCCAGTTGTCAATCCACTCGTTCCTTCGCTCGCGATCGGTTCCGTGTCCGCCGCGAGTGCGTTGAGAGGCCGATAAGTAACAGTGTAGTCGACAAGCCAAGTGGTGAGGTCCGGCAATGGAGCTTTTGTAGTCGCGTAGGTTTGCGGACTAACGGTGGGCTTATTCTCCGCGTTCGCGCCGTGAGACGCATCGTGTTGATCCGCAATCGTGACTTTGTCCGAATCGTTGCGCCTTTGATCGTAATTGACGTGCGACATCCCCGGCGCCTCGTTCGACGACAGAGATATCACGGAGGGTTTCACTTCCGCAACTTGATTCATCACACTCGACAAGGAATCGATCAGCTGCGGGCGTAACGGTTCTATCGGCGCTAAGGACTGAATTTTCGTCGGCCGCGGATCGAGATGACTCTCCGTGTACGCCGGCGTAATCGAGCTCAATGCTTCTTTCGTAATCGTGGTGGAACCTTCGCCGAGACGATGACTCGTGTACGGCGGGATCGGCGCGGTCGAGATCTCGATTCCCGACGCGGAAGCGAGCGTGGACGGCGAGTATAGCGCGGTTGCGTTAGACGCCTCTTCGGCACCTTTGAGCGGCGCAGATGCGTGAGAAAGCGGGATATTAGTTTGCGGGATTATCTTATCGTCATTATGTGTTACGCTCTGCGGCTCTTTCGTAACGCCAGGCACGAATGAAGGATCTTTGGACGGCTTCGTATTGTTCTTGCTCTGCAGAAGGATGTAACTCACGTTCAAAGGAGGAATCTTGTCAGTCATACTTGTTGCCTCACCGAACTGATCGTGCGTCACGATCTTCTTTGTGTCGACCGTCGTGGAGGAGTCCGCTGTACCCGGCGTGGTCGTTGAATAATGGATCGCCGGAACTCCCACTTCTTGATCCGCGTCGTTCGCCGTCTGCTTCGTGACATCATCTGCGGGATGCGTATTTAGACTTGACAATTGCGAAAATGTCGTGTCTTCAGGTACTTCCGACAGGGTTATCTCCACGTATTCGGTCTGACCGAGTTCTTCGGTTTGAGCCGGCAGTTGCGTAGTCGCGTAACTCGCGACGTCAGCTGCAAACGAGTCGGTTTGGCTGACCTTTTCAGCCACCGGAATCACGCTGACCATTTGGAAAACAGGACTTTCGGTAAAGGCGGGTTGCAATGTCGACAATTTCTGTTCCGTTAGAGTGATAACCGGAACCGGAATCATCGGTTTCTCCGAAATCGATGTTTGCTGATGGCCGTGCTGAGGCTTCTCACCGTGCTGCATATTATTAGTAAAACCGGCGTACGCGTTCGTCTGAACATCCGGCTTCTTCACTGGATCTTTCGGCGTCGCGCTCGTTCCGATATTCAACGCGCTCTCGACCGGCGACGAGGTTTCTATCCTCTCCGTCGTAACTTTATGCGATTCGCCGCCCGGGGAAATGGCATCCGTCTCGCCGGAGAGAATAGAAGGTAGAATGTTGCTCCATTCGACATTCGCGTGTTCCGGAATCTTCGGTATTGTGCCCGTTAAAGTCGGCGGTTTGTCGAGCGCGCTCTTCAACACGTTCTGTACCTTCTGTACTACATCCATGACCTAAAATGTAAAGTAAGATACATGAAATCCGTAGACGAAGCCGTGACAGCCTCCGTTAGCTCCTATTATTCGTACATTCCTGTTTGCCTTGCGTTTGAATTTAAATATAATGTAATTTTAGCACGATAGCTATTTTTATTCATAGAAATTTATGACTCCGAAACAATTCTTATTTCATCTAATCATCTATTTAGACGAATTTTCAATATTTAATCATTAAATGTACTTTATTATATTAATGTTATCCTTCGCTCTTATTTACATTTGTACATGAACGAAGTATTTTAAGTGAAATAGTATCGAGTTCTCATGCTTATCTATCATTTATTTATAGTTATGAGGCGAGGCACGAAAGACGAGAGAGAGAGAGAGAGAGAGAGAGAGAGAGAGAGAGACAAAAAAAGATGAACCGACCTTCTTGCCACCTGTTAGGACGTCGTCGGCTTTTTGAGGTTCTTGCTTGTCCATCGCGACGTGATCCGCACCACCTGCTGCAATGAGACCTTGAATTTCCTCAACGGTCATCTGCCGCGTAATCATATCGCCCTTTTCGTCGTAAGTATAAAACTGAAACTTGTCGGGCCGCAAAAGTCCGGCCGGCGAAGCGACCAGTTTGTGGCTGGACTGCGTGTCGTTTTTGCCGTTCGGAGGATGCGTGCGCTTGTTGTAATCCTGGCGAATCATTGTTGAAGTGGCTACGCTGTAAACGCACGAAGATCCGTCCAGAAATATTAACTATTGTTATTCGATGTTAACTCGAAAGCGAATCGTGCCTAAAGATTCACATAAATTCAATTTCCGTGTCGCAAATTTGAGCGCGATAGATTGAAACGTATATAAAATCGATATGGAATATTGTTCAATTTTTATTCAATTTTTAACAAACTCGTTTAAGAGAATTATTGATAGCGGCGGCGTATCGGAGCGAAGAACCCGCGCCAAATGAGAACAAAGTTCAACAAGAAACAAGTTCAACGTGCATACATAATTGCTTTAATTAATCTACTCATTGCAAACAAAACTGCCTGATCCGTGTACTGGCCGCGTTTCAATGAGAGTCGACCGTGTTTTTTCTTTCTTCTTTTCCGCATTGTTTTTCCCACGCACGATTCCTATCTCAACATTTTTCGCTCGCATTACGTCGCCTCTCTGTTATTTACCAAAAAAAAAAATAGAATCGCGACGCGTACCACTAATTTCATTATATAAACGCTCTGTCCTACATCCGTGTGTGTTTAACGTACCTGTGTGTAAGTAATAAAAGCTACAGGCAGGAAGATTTCCCACGTGATACTGACCTAGGACTGAACGTATTCGCAAACACGCGCGAACGTTCGTCGTGAGCCGGTAAAGCTTCATTAAACTGCAGCTTCGTCCAAGACACAATTAGTGCGAACAATAGCCAGCGTAATCGTTGCAGCAACATGATAATTTTCGAATTTCTGTAAAGATATATTCCGAAATTGAAGACGGTCGTGGTTTTTGGCGCAAAAGGTTCGTCACTTCTCCGTGAAGATTTATTTTAAATAAAGTTATCGACTTCTAAAAGTTTGGAGTTTTTTTAATATTGAAATCAGTCGCAACCATTTCACTTCGTCAAAATTTATTTAAAAGCCCGCAGTACTGGCTTCAATCTTACTTAACGAGTACGACAAACCTTTTGCATCAAATCATAAATCACTTTGGTTTCGAATTCTGTCATATTTATCGATTTATCGAACGATGACTCACGACTCAAAAGGCACTTGACAATAAATCACAAAGAAAGCAAATCGGTAAGCAAGTATTTAGATCGTGCAAAAGCTGTACACACTACAGAAGTAATGAGATACGTGCGAAGGAAAAGAAGGGAAGGAAAGAGAGATAGGTCACCGAACCTTACAATTTCTTACTGGTTGCTACATATCATCGATCTCAGCGACCGGTTTTTCGCCGTTCAATTACCGCAGCGCTTTGCATCGCGCGTAAAACCGAAGAGTGATTATCAGCGTGATATAATTAGCGCCCTTTTGAAAGGTTTTTTTTTTTTTTCTACATTTCGGTGAGAAAACCGCGGAATACGTCACACCCGACACATCTCTCTTTCCTTTTCTCGTCGCACACATTCGCAATTACATATCGCGCGAAACGATGGACAAAAGTTGAATTAATAGGATACTCACACTTTGGAAACGGAAGCAGCCTCCTTGAAAATGTCATTTAAATCTGCCGAGGGGCAATCCTCGCCGATAACTCCGGCGCGACTCGGTGATCGCGATAGCGCTCGACACTACCGAACACAATACGGCCGTGCGATATTCGATAAGAGGGAAATGCTGAACGTTTGGAGTACGTGGTCGGTCCCTCGGTGCTCGAATCCCTAGCGCGAGACGCGCCAGTCTATCCTGTTTCCCCTGTCGCTCTTCTCTCCTTCGCGCTTCTCTCTCCGTCTTCCCTTCTTCCCTTCTTCGTTAAGGGATCAAGGACGTTTGGCAGTTGAGACTATTTTGCGGTCGACCTTGCTGTCAGACTCGCCGGTGTAGCGACCCCGGCAGCCTCGGCGATGATTACGGAGCGTGCACCGCGAACTCCTCCCTTTTCTTCTGCGCCCTCTTCTCTCCTCCTTGTATTCCCTCTTGTGTTCCCTCTTGTTCCCGCGCTCGCAATCGCTGCGTGACACTCGGCGATTCTCTTCCTACGCTAACTTGCCCGCTCCTCTGCTGTCTTATACCCTGGATAAACACGTACTGCAAGGTAGGATCCTTCGCCGAGACGAGCGCAGCGAAACAAGAAGTCAGAAGGAATAAGGAGGGGAGACGCCTCCTGAGGGGTAAGACAGAGAAAGGATTCGCCTCTCTCGCCTCTTGCGAGAGACGTCGTCATCGTCGGATGGAGTGGATTACGCGGAAACAGGTGACCGCGCGTACGTACGTTCGCGAGCTTCCCTCCTCGTCGAACAAATCGCAATTTGATTCAGATCGGATAATCGGACGTAGGGAAGCGTCACGACGCGTCATTCGCGCTTTGCACAGTCGTCGCAATTTTCCGTAGTTTCACCGTCCGCGGTTAGTATTTATGGCCCCGATGCATCGCATCAATGGGACCGATTGATGCACAATTCAGCATTGCGGCGCCACTACGAATCTCGCTCGGTGATCGTCGGAAAGATCGCGCGCGAGGTGGGCACAAATCTCTTTTTTTTTTTTCTTCTTCTTCTTAATGACAAATGTGGCGTAAGCGCGTCGAGCCGGCAATTCACGGCGATTAACGGTACATCGACCGAATGAGCCGCTTGCATGACGTATTAAATTGTGAAAGAAGCTGGCGATGGGCCGTGTGAAGAGTAACGCAAAAATGCGGCTCTCGAAAGGGACTCGCCGATCCGAATTCCTCGAAGGCCCAGTTACGCGTGCCTTTCATATCGAGCGTGGCCTTTATGTAACTCATTCATGACTCAATCGCGACCGGCGGATTACTCATGTCGCACACGGATTTCGGACGCTTCTGATTTCCTAAAAGAAAAAAAAAAAAAAAAAAAAAGAGAACTCGTCGAGATGTAATGACGCGGCGACAAACACTTGATGATAAAATTTCTTTGCAATTTCATGAAAAATTTCTGTTCGCCCAGTCACGCCGAGCCGGGGCGAAGCGAAATAATAGATTTAGGTTTGACAGTGATCGCGCTTCGAGGGGAGACGAACGGGCTCCGGGAAACCCGTTTCTCGCTTCTCGCGTAACTACGTCTGGTTAAAGTTTTCTGTGAACGTCGAGCATGCACGGGTTAATAAACAGCCGTCCCACTTGCACGACTGTCCATCCGTAACCCACTGTTTACCAAGACAACGGTACACCGCGCCGCGCCGGATTAAGGTTTATCCAACGGTCACCTATCGACAAATTTGACGTCGGAGCCGATGGGAGTAGCACGGAAAAGGGGAACGCGAGAACGAGCTCTGTGAACTCGGCAAATCCGACCTATTTCTTCGCCACCAATTCCACGTCGCCCCCGGCGACGTGCGAAACGCTCGATCGATTCGCGGATCGATCCGACGCCGATCGATCTCTCAAATTTCATTTTCTTCTCCGCTAAAGCGCCGATCGACTGAACTTTTCGGGCGGGCCGACGAGTCTCGCGCTCGAAATTCCGATAACTGAAAATTCTTCCCTCCTCGGCGTGACGAAATATATGAGAAGTACGATAATGATCGGGAAGAGAAGAAAAATGCAAGTTAGCCGGTGTATCTACGAGAAATTCTCAGGTGCGTGAGAGATTCCCCGGTGGTGTAGCCGAGGTGTCACGCTCGGCTGAGCTAACACGACATTTCAGATTACGTAGCTTGGAATCGTTGCTCCGAAGGGAGCATCGTCCTGAGACGACTCCCGTAATCAAGCCTCTTTCGAGCTCTAACGTGGCGCGCGAATTCGCATTATCATAGGAATGTTAATCGATACCCGCTTTTATAACTGAGTAAAATCCTGACGTCTACATTCGGCTCGACTACGCAAATGCGAGATAGAGATATATTTTATAGCATCCCGTCGCGCTAGTTCCTTTCAATTTAGTGCCGCTTCGGTCGCAATTAAGATTCGTTTCATAGTGTCGTGATAGAGCGAGACGCTTCGTCCGCTTCGGCGAAATGCCTCGGCACAGCCTGAAAAGAAGAGGACTGTAAAGCATTTCGATAAGTGCACAGTTCTGATTTATCGCCAATGATCGGCGATCGCTTCCGCCATTAGCTCGCATTGCCCGGCGCATCGTTCGCGCGCGTTATGCAAATGCGAAAAATCAATCCGACGATATCTTAATAAGCACTCGAGTTTGCTGCCAAGCGGAATATACGCGATATCTTGAGCCGTTAGCGACGAGCGCGCGAAACTTGGCGAATATTTCTCGACACATATACCGGAATGTACCACTTTTCGACACATAACAGTAGTATATGCGGCACACACGAGTGTAGACGATCTCTCATAGAAATACAAGAGACATAACGGTCTCCTTCACCGTGTTTCGAATACGTATCCAAATCACGCTCGTCCAAAATCTGATTTAGTTACGCGCGTGGGATATGAAACCGCGTGATGTATCGGCCTATCGGCTATTGCCATTCGCAACGTTCTCGAATTCGAGACGCGTATCTGTCTGTCTCCCCTGGTTTGCACGCCGTTTGTGTGTCCAAGCGAGACGACTAGGAACCGATCGAGATCATCCGGAATACCAGGCAACGAGGTCATTCTGTAAGGATAAACCGTGTCCCGGTTGGTCGTTCGCGCTCACTCGACTTCTCATTCTTCATTTTCGCTACCTGTTCACATTTTTTTTACGACTCTTAATGATTAAGTAAAGATAATTAAGTGGTAACAAATAATAAGAGAAATGTATATTAGATTATTTTTCAGATACTCAACGACCAAAAATATCAAACCAATTTGTCCGCAAGTACAGTGATGAAAAACGGCGGCAAAGAGGAAGATGAGATTGAAATATTGTCGGAGACTCGGCTCATCAGTGGAAGGAAATACGAGGAAATGTGATTGATGAGACAGGCACTGTGATATATTATACTTTACAGTTAATAAATTTCAACTGTTTTCCAGATGAACTCTTTTTACCTGCAATATATATCGGTGAGATTATGAAATACATCAATATTACTTAGTGTGAATCAATTTTATTCTGAATTTTTGAATTGTATTGGGAAAAAGAATATTTTGGAATAATATGTTTCATGATTATTGTAAATTTCTCCAACGGGTGGTTAGCAATTTTTAAATAAAATCTAAAAATTTATATTCTGTGGCCACATTCTTATTGTAAAATTATTTCAGATTTACAAATAGCGTAATAAACGGATTGAGATCAGCTGGAAAAATGTTGAAAACCAACGACCAGTTCACTAAAATTATAAGAGTTCTCCCGATTATTTTACGATACGCACGCTGCTGAAATCTTCGATAATTGTATAACATCGTATCCTAATTTGCGAAAAAGTAAAAAATTGCTCAACAATGATACAAATGTAAATGTTACATATACAACCTTGGCCAAAATTATTAAGCACCCTCATAATCATTATATTAAATCTAATGCCAGGAAAGACTTCTATTGTTTAAAAGTTGTTTATTAGAGTGTTCATTATGAAGTCGTTAGAGCTAAGAAATGGTTTATTTCTTTCAAAATATAAATGTTACTTTGAAAAAAGTATTTTAATAGTCTAATAATTTTGGCCAAGGCTGTAAGTATCTATTTTTGTCAAATTAATAATGTATTTCAATTTTATGCAGATACTCAAGATTCCAACGATAGTAGAGAGCACACGGATAAAAGAAAATTGCTGATCATCAGGAATGTGACCGCATATTTCATTAGAAGACAAAATAGAAAATTTGCGAGGTATATTAATTACTATATAATGCTATTTTAATCATGTAATCTTGTAATTAATTAAAAAATCAAAATCGATTCCATCTCCATTGTTTTAATTGTAATGTTTAAGTCTGACGAAATTTGCCAGACATTCGTGAACAAAAAAAATGTACTTAAAACTCACAAAACATGGATATTGAACTTAAAGCAATCAAAAATCAATTAATTAAGTAACTTATTAAGTATTAAGTAAGTAAGTAGTACATAACATTTTACAGAATTCATATGAGTAACATTGCTGTTTGCAATAACCATCTAAATATATATATGCACAATTTTTCTATTTCTTAGAAAATAATATAAAATTTATACATACTATGCAACGTGTTTTTGTATTTTTCCACATATGTGCTAGAATCATAAAATTCACAATCCCTAGCCAATGACGAGTTCTTTTTCCTCAGTCACAACTGTCGGTGCGTCCACTTTACGTTGCACGTTAAACACCACGGATAACTTGAATGGTACACACGTTTCCGTTGTACAAGCTATTATGTTTAACGCAACGCGCAACTGATTATGCGCTTCATCTTCGGGAAGTTTCACCGACACGGGAGTCGACAGTTCACCTGTCAAGGAGTTTGTTGTCCACGTATCGACAGGTAAGGTCACGTGCCATTTTTGCGGTGCCTCTGCACTTAGTTTAAAATCATTCGAAAATACGATTTTGAACGAAACATTTAATTCTCCACCATGTGTACTGACTGCTGTATCGAAAGTAAATGTATGATCGATATCTTTATCATCGGTATCTTTATTCGAATCGCTATCGAATACGATGGTCATCTGAAAGATGAAATTAATATTATCAGTACAATGTACATGTAGAATGGCAAATAAATTATATTTTAAAAGCGACGCTAAAATATACTAACGGTTGATATTTTCTTGTTTTTCAGATCAATCATCTTAATAGAGTGATTATTAGTGTCCGCTACATAAAGAATTTTACCGTCTGGGCTGACAGCAAGACCGCTTGGTTCATCAAACTAAAAAGTATTTCACATTTAGAATGTGTGTACATACAGAATACCATCGGCATCATCTCAGAAAACAGAGAAACTTGCAGAAAATTCAGGCCCAGGTTTTCCATCGCCAAATAGTGTCTTGCAACACCCTGATGCATTAGCTACGCCTTTAATTTTATGATTATAAGTATCGGCCACATAAATTTGCTTGTTCAAATGATTCCACGCTATACCCAATGGATGTTGCAGTCTAGCCATGAATTTCTCTCCGTCTCTATCTCCGAAAGCATATAAGTCCTGTAATACAAATCGAATTTAAAACTTCTAACAAGATATTTGCTTTTGAATAAAATTTGATACGAGAATTTTACATATACTTATATATTTGTATGTAAGATAACAAAATAATTTGATATTATTTGTGTTTAACAGACCATTGGATTTGGATTCCCGCCACATAACTGAGATACTTGACCAATGTCAAAATGCAAGCGTCTGATAGTACTGCTTTCACTGTCGGCTAGGAAGGCAAGTCTTAATTCTTGAGCGACTGCGATGCCAGAAGGTTGAGCCAATCCAGCAGAAAGGGGATAAGTGTTGTTGCGATTCAGCTCTTCACCATTTCCGACAATAGCAACGCACGTGCCTGCCTCGTATTTTCTAAAATAGAAGGGCTCTAACTGAAGATACCGATTTTCTCAAGAAGCATAACTTAATTTCCAAGTAAAGAGAAAATGCTCCATTTATTTATTTTACATCTTTTTCAATTGTGAACTGCGGAAAGTCGAGACTAAGTATCACACAGGAAGCTAGTGCACAAAATTGAATTTTAAATTACACAAGCGTAAGAAATGACAAAAGATTGAAATGTTAAGTTAAAAATTACATAAATTAATGTCTTACTTTTCTTTCCACCAAATAGTGTCTTCGAAAAATAACGCCCAGATTTGATGAGTGCCCGCGTTCGCGATTAACAGGACTGGTACGACAACATCTTTATGTTCATGATGATATATTGCCACATCCCAAGGAGATGACAGAGCTTGTTTACTGCCATGTTTCCCGCCCACGCGATCATGAACCTTGCCTTGTGAACTTTGTAAACCAGTGCCAGCTATAGTGGACACAGTTTTCTCGGTCAAATCTATCTAAAAATCAATGTTGAGATCAGAAATAGCGTAACCAAGTTTTAAAGTATAATGGTAAAGAATAACATTTTTCTTCTTACTTGTCTAATAGCATGATTATTAGTATCAGCAACGTAGATTTTATCTTTGAGTAGGCAAACTCCTTGAGGCGAATTAAATCTAGCAGTATTGAAATCACCATCTTTAAAATCCTGGTTGCATCCGCCTATAGTATGCTCCACTTTTCCATGTTCATCGACAATCACAATTCTATGGTTACCACTGTCCGATATGGCAAGCTTTGTCCCTTGTTTGAATGGCAGAACTGCTAATTTACCAGGAAATAATAAACCATCTTTTGAAGATGGTAAAAGGTGGTGCGCTGGCTTCAGTGGAAGACTATGATTCGATATTTGATTTAAGGATTTGAAATGCGCAATTGCTATTTTTGTGTAGAAGATTATTTCATCTCTGCGATTTTCGCCCGTAAAAGCAGCCAGGAGTTGACCATCGGGCCCTGAAATAGATTTATAACTATACTGATGGTAATGGTTTATAAATATAAATTTTTCAAACTTTATAAACAAAAAGAGCGAAAATATATTGTACCCAACATAATGAGACTGGGCCAACACATAATTCCCATATCAGACCACATTTTTAATTTTGTATCATTTACTACAGGATGCATGATGTTGTATCTTTGTATAGCAGATAAGACATTCTTCGAGCTCTTTTCATTTGTAAACTTTGGACTGTGAACTCCAATCTGTGTAGAAAAATTATCAATAGACATTAGCATTTCCATTTAAATATTTTTATTTAATTTAATTTATTTAAAACAATTTTTTTGAATATTTAATTTTGCTCTCTTATAAAACATTGTACTCACTACAACAAGCCCCTCTTCTACAGAAGTCTTTTTCTCAACCTCTTCTAATTCGACTAAAACATGCATACAATTGATGCAGCAGTACGTAAAAAAGTCTAAAAGCACAATTTTTCCTTTCAGATGTTGCGTCAGTGATAAGCTTTCTGATACATTGAACCATTCCAATCCTGAAACACGATGATATGTTTTATTATACTATCTACAATAATTATTTGTTATTAGAGAAAATATATGATTACTATTTGAAGATATAAAAGGAACAAAAGGTGAGAGAAATATAATATTTCTTATAGTTATACAAATAAGAAAAAAATTACCTTCTTCAAAATCAGGAGCTTTTGCTCCAGTTTGTTTGAATTGCTTAATGTGTTTCCGAATGCGTTTCACTATTTCTTCTTTATGTTTGGGATATAGAGAAAGAATACTAGAACGCATCCGATTGCAAGTTTCTGTCAAATTCTCCACTACCTCCTTTGTATTCATTTTTGTGTTTGCAAGACCACACAGGCACAAAAGGGTAACTTAAAATTTTAATAAGATTTGTCAAGCGATTGTGAACTCTTGTACGTATAAAATTAATTCGAATATTGTATTGTCTCGAACGCATTCAATATATTTTATGTAAAGTTATATGAGATAGTGAATTTCAGCATGTTTCAGCACATTTCAACACTCACCTCCAAGTAAACAAGCGAGATACTATATCATCGACTATGTAATCACCTTGGCAGACTCATTGCGGTAAAGTAGTTTGAGGTGTTACCAGAGAACTGCTAGCGCATGTGCAGAATTTCTCCATAGAATTTCTCTATATCAGATACGCTACCTGGGCATCGATCATGTAATTTTTCTCTAGGAGCGAAAACCTGAAAAGTAAAAATTTCATGTAAATTCGACGAATAGAAATGTCGATTTCACATAAAAGTTTTCATTTTTCACGTTTCCGCTCTTACAGAAAAATTATATGAACGATGCCAAGCAGTCTTCCAGCGGAAGGTGTTTACAGGAAGGGAGAAGATAAGCGATCATTTTGATTATATGATTTTTTTTGTTACTAAAATTTAATTAATGCAAGTGATATATAATAATATATCATTTGATAGGATATCAATTTGATATAATTATTGCCTCATGAGATACAAATTTGTTTCTACTGTCTTGCACATGACAGTAGTATTTAATGGCATGTAGGAAATAGCCTGACACATAACAAAAAAAAATTGTTACCTGTTAGACGACGGATATGGCTGATAAAAAATTAGATGAATTGGATTGGGTGAAAATACGGGAAGAATTAGACGTCGATTACGTTAGCGAGACGATATTTGAGAAGGCGAAACGTAAAACACGAGAAAATCCATTGGTACCACTAGGTAAACTAACCTTCAATATATACAGTGTTAAAATAAATTCAGCAATCTTCATAATTTATAAAGACATGGGAATTCAATCTATAAAAAGGAAAAAATATACGTTTTTACAGAATACTGCACAATTTAAATATTGCAAGAGATTTCTGTGGGAATATTTTTGATTAAAATCTATTTAATTATTAAAGATTTACCGGAATATGCTTTAGCAAGGATTTCTGTTTCCAGGAAGTCTTCTAACTGTAACAGCACTGACTGTTGGACTCATCAGCTTTTATAGAGGAAAGGGGCAAATGCAACAGTACATGATGCGTGCCCGTGTTGGCGCTCAAGCATTTACTATTATTTGCATGGTTGCAGGATTTATTTTATTACCCAAATCAAAGTAGAATAAAGTAGAATGTAACATTATATAACTTTGATTTTCGTATGCCATTAATTTCTGTTCTGGCATACTTCTGGTCTGAAATATTCGTATTCTTTATGTCAGATACAATGTACCTATGAGTGAATATAATATTGTTTTTATTCACTAATTAATGAAGACAGAATATATTAAAAAAGGTAGTAAAAAGGTAATGAAAAGGTAATAAATTTTTTTTTTAATATTTTTAAGATATATTTTTCCATAAAAAATATATCTAGCTACAATTATTAATACAAATTATAAATATGTATATATTTTATATAACAAATAGCATTATCATTAATATATAAGAAAAATAATATTTTAATAACTCCTATTTTTATTGATTTCAAGTTGCATAAATTAAATTGCATAATAATTTCCAAAAACAAAGTTAGATAAAGAGTATCTAAAAAAAAAAAGAAAAAAAAAATAACTCGATAAAATCATATTATTATCCTGGTTATATTAAATTCTATATCGCATATGCATATCCTTACAGCCTTACTGAATATTGCTAGGTTTCTACATATTTTTTTAATAAATTTGTTATATAGCAGAGCTATTTATATATATTAAAATTATATATATATATATTTGTTATTATATATATATATAATTTTTTTTTTAGCAAAATGCGATTTGCATTATAAAAATAGAAAAAATGAAAAATTATTTAATCGAAACCTTTTGTACTATATACCTTCATCCAACAAGCTTTTTTATACTGAATTATCAAATTGCGTGCGTTACCAATATACAATTTTCAGCTAAAATAATATTTTTCCTAAATATTTAATTAGTTATATATAAGAAACGGTTAATTGAACAATCTACATTTTTCCTCTCATTTAATTTCAAATTAATGTGTAAATTAATCTTAGATTGTAAAAGCTTGATATAAAAAAATTGAAAAATTTTAGTATACCCATCTTCGCGATTTATCTAGTATACTTATCAACTCGCGCTTGTCGGATATGCAGATTCTTCAGAAAGAATCGGGAAATCGTTATGCGTGTTTATTCGAGGAAGCAAAATGGGGCTTTAAAGTAATAGCACCTTGTTTAAATGCACCGCTGATACTCAGTGAACGTGAACGCAGGCTTGTTAGGCTATTCGTGGAACTACAACTGCTTAGACTAGTACTCGGTGTGAGATCAAAAATCGTTTGTATAGTAGGTCTTGTGGACGTATAATCCGATGAAATTGATTCTGCAATGAAAAGAATATTAGTTAAGAAACAGTCGATAAAGATTTTATTTGCTAACATTGTTATTAAATTCTATTTAATTATCCATCAAATTTTTAGCTTAGAGAATGTAATTTATAAATTTACCAATTAAAGGTGTTTCATCGTATAATGAGCCCTGTCTTTTACTGCTGATAAAAGAATTTCTTGTGCTTTCAATGCTAGACACCCTTTGGATAACTTCTGCAGCGTGTTTCCACCTCAAATGGTCGTTAATGTGTGCCAATATGAGCTTCAACCATTTTTGAGCTTCCTCCTTCGATTCAAATTTAATCAACAATGGTTTGTCTGTGCTCCCGCCATGGTTATTTATCAAAAGTTCTTTGGCGGAGGATTTGGATAATTGAACGGACGTTCCCTACAAGTTGATTGCAAAAATTACTTCAATTGAAATAATAAAGCGATCATCAGAGATGTAAGTGTCAACTAACTTTATTAATTGATATTACGTGCTCCGGATTTTGACCTTCTTCCGCATGCTTTTTCGATTCCCAAGTTTTAATGAAAAATCCTTGCAGGCATGCCCAGTAATGTTGACCGTCTATCTTGACATTGCCGATGCAGATTTCTTTGTTAATGCTCTCTGGCTGTGCCGCCAGTCGACAGCAGAAGTGGCCAAAAAGCGGTAAAGAGTGATACTTGTTATCTGCAAAATGAATGTGTTATGTAAGTATCACAAATATAATTTTTTTTCTTTTATATAACCCACCGATATTATTAATGACGAGGTCATGCGTGTGAATGTTATCATCCGTATCATTTAAGGTCAGTTTTGCGCGCGCTACTAGATCGAAGTGTGGTCCACTGAAATAAATGTCTGATACAGTGAAATGGCTTCTAATAGAAACTTCATTAACTTATACATTTATATAATAAAAATAGCAACTTACGATTTGGCGGAACTAAATTCGTCACGAAGCGATGCGGCGAGTTTTTTGCCAACGGTTTTTGAAATCGATGAATGAATCGTTTTTTTTATTCTTCTCGGCGTACTTGCGATACTCAAGTCCTCTTGCAAAACGTGGCTATAAATTTCTAAGACTAATTCGAACTCGGCAGGCACATTGTTACTGAAAGTAGATGATAAAAATTTTCAAAATTAAGATTCTTACATTTTTCGGATAATTTTACTGTACGCTTAGCTGCGCTTATATCAAATTAATAATTTAGTATAATGAATTATTATGAAAACTTACAATATTAAAACGTCGGGAAAACTGATATCTGTATGAGCTCTGTCAATGGGACACAGCAACGAAGTGTCGTGGATTTCTGTGCCCAATCGTGCCAAGCAAAATACAGCGAATCGACGATAATCTCCGCGATTTTTAAAATGATCGGAATCTCTCCACATCAGCGGTATTCTCAGATCCGAAATTGATAACTTGCCCGTACTTCCAGGAATGCTGAAAAACATATACGTTATCCAATTATGAATTGCGGCACGCTGCAAAACGACAATATTCTCTCGTAATTTCTACAAACCATGACTTTTTAATAGATTCGCGACGGCGACTTTGCAATTCAGCCATGTAAACTGACATCCTCTCGTTGGATGTGAGCAGCGCTTTGGCGGCTTCCAAGCTCTGAGCGCGATGTTTCGCAGCCGCCAATAGTCTCGCTGAACCTTCCCTCATTTTGATTTCCACCTCGATTTTTTGCTCGAGATCATGCTCCTGAAACACATAAATCATCAGGCATTTTAGTGATCGATTCGAAAACATTCTTATCAAATTTTATGCACACAAAATATTGTTCGAAAATTTTCTCGTACACTCGTGTATTTCAGAATGCGGTAATGTCACCACAGGTGTCCGCAGGTGTTGAATATACGAACGTAAACAAAAAAAGGCGGGCTATAGTTACGATCGGAGAAAAATTAAAGTATCAGCAATAAAATAACTGGCTAACTAGCACGTGGCCGGTCACGCGTTTACGGCATCGGATTACACACCTTAACGTCTTACATATTTTGCTAACTAATCGTTTTACTCGTTTTACGAGACTCCGCGAGACATCCATAGACCGAATTCAAGGCGTGCAATTCGAAAACTTGGAGTCGAACAGATATATCACAGATTTTATCATATATTCTACGAGAGTAGATTATTAGCTTAGCATACAAAATGAATAATAACCTGAGGAATCTTCTCATTCGTCTGTTTTCGAAGTCCCGACATGTGAAACTATAACTTTGTGCAGGTCCGCCGGTGTGCGATACAAACGTGATAAATGGAAATTCCGCTTCGAGACAAGCAACAAACTTCGCAAAAGCGTAAATAAATCGGCGCGGCTCTCACAACACTGGTGGCAGAAGGCAGAATCGGACTGAAATAACGACTCTTCGGGGAAGTGGACGAGTGCACGAGGGGGTAACGTTCACCTCGACAAATTGGTTCGCTTACGCTCCTCCTTCCACCCTCGGGAAACCACGCTAACATCGCAGAATATCGATCCGTAGCTTTATAGCCGGCACGCACGAGATCGCATCTATCCCTACGAAACGCATTCAGAAAAATCGTGAGTCATCGACGAGCTAACTTCTTTCGTATAAATTTTTTCTTAATTATTTTGACGAGACATTAAAGATCATGAAAATTCCTTTCAGATTTATCGCACTTAACGGATGTCCATTAATTTCCGCATTATCCCAATGAAGCGTACAATCCGAAAATAACGGACACATCAGCAAAATCAATAATGAAGATGAATCATAGCACGCATTGAGCAATTTCGTATTCCGTTAACGTTAGCGTGACACATCCTTACTCGGCGCACGGTCGCGGTCTATCAGGAATATATCATAGATCGTGCACTTCTGCCGTCGGCCTCGAATAGGAATTTTGCAACGACGCAAGGGTCCACATTTAATCCCTGACCTCGGACGCCAGTGCTGTAACGAGTCTTGATGAAACTCGTTGATGCGCGCTGTATGACAAACGAGTTCACGTAAGTACGATGTAACAATTCGCTCGACTAGAGCCTCGTATATTGCCCCGGCTTTGCCTTCACGCACACGCCGGGAGACACGTCGCATACAATTATTAATGCGATGCGATATTAATGTTAAGAAAGTTCTACATGTATCAAAACGATTCTCTCTTGCTCCGCTTGCACTTTATCTTCCTTCTGCGACCCCGTCGCCTCATTGTCCTTCGTTCCTACGCATTCCCTCTCAATATTACTTTCTCTCGCGTTGCCAACACTTTCCCGACAGCTTGTCTGCCGAAAATAGTCGCCAGAAATCCAATACCCCGTGCAGTTGTGCCCGTAATGGTCACCGCAGGCGTGCGACACGCGACGACGCACGCTTTGCATCTTCCTTTCTCGCGTAAAATCTCCGCGGTAAGCAACACTCCGTGTATGATATTTGCAACAAGTGCCTCGAGGTATAGAAAGCAATTGACATTAAATCGCTGCATTGAAACGTAATGATGAAAATAAAAATAAAATATACAAATAACAGAAAATATTTAATAAATATTATATATCGCGATACATTAGTAGAGTTTTCACACAAATTGTTAAACAACGATTTTGTCAAACATATAGCAATTTTGAGATCAACAGCGTTGAAACGCTGTTGAGATTTCAAATTCATTTGACATTGCCATTCGTATGTCCAACCGACGCAATATCACACACGACGTCTAAAAATACAACTCACGAGGAAATGTTGGCTTCCGTGAAACGCGCTACGCAACATCACACCATTTGCGTCCAATAATTCAACTCATCTTTACACAAATTTGTACATACAAAATCTTTCAGCAATCGTCAAACGATATATCGATTTGCGATGTTCGTATAAAAAAAAAAATACATTTCAAATGTTCTCGTGCAATATTTAACGTGACGGATGATAAACAATATTAATAAAGTCGTTGAATCGTAATCGCGTACGAAACATACCTTTGAATTTCGTGCGATTTGCCGAACGTAATACAGATCCAGATCTTGAAAGATGTCATTCTTTTCCGGGAGCGTTGGGGTCCTCGATCGCATTCGCGTATCTTCGGTATTTACAACACTGCATCCGTCATTTAGCCGGTCTTTCGACTTATTCCCATGCCGCGGATTCAATATCGCCAAATGCGGGAAGCAGGAGTCCATTTTTTTTCGGTATGTTTATTCGCCGTCTAATTTATATCATTTCATAAGCGAATGTACAGTTTTCACTTTGATGACTTGTGAGCGATTCGAAAGACGCATCGTCGCAGAACACAACTCAGATTTATCTCTGACGTTATACTTCGCAGAGAGTGCTACACGTGTTAGTTAGCGAGCAATTTAAAGCAGCCCGGTCTTGCGAATACACGTGGCCAGTTTTTACCTCGAAACCTTGACCCGAGATCTTAAACAGGAGAGAAGGTTGTCCTCTTGCTTCTTTCGTTCAAATGACTTGAGTCAAGGTAGACAGGGAGACTCCTCTTACTCCGAACTTTTCATCCACGCGTCTGCTGCTTGATAAAGAGTTTCTATAAATTTCAACCTTCACAAGTAATTTTGGATAAAGCAGCGAAACATATTGTTATTGTTATATTACTTGAGGATCTTCTTTCTCGGAAACTTCTTTTAATCGTTGACGCAACTGTGTCACACCGAGAGCAATATATAGCAGATTCGGATCGTCCTACGTTATTTCGTCATTTGTAAAATAAGTCGTGACGACTGCGCTTTCTTCTCCTCGCAATGCAGCAAATAAAAGATTTCGTTTCGTCGAGACTTCTTCCGACTCTCCAAACATTCAATTTGCTTGCCTCGCTCGCCTCCACTACATTCGTTTTTTTCCCTGTTTCCGGTGTTAGTCCACCTCCAAAATCATGCGTATGTTTCACGTCATTGGTCTTTCAGCGGCAAGATATTTTACATTTTACGTGGAGTTTCCGGTGTATATGACATCGTACGTAAAATAAAAAAAAAACGATAATTATCGAAATCACAATGTGATTTGATAAAATCGGTTGCGACTAGGTCAGACTAGATTACAGCATAAACGAATAACACAATCTACACGAGTGAAACAAAAATATTGGTGCTGCTGGTCGCGAGAGAAAAAAAGCAAAGAGCACCGCTCTCGAGAGCACCCGACTAATACTGAATGACGCTCGACCATTCGACTGTGTAAGCATTTAAGCATCAACAGGACGCACTAGCGCTACGCACCACACGCATACAGTAAATCAGCGTAGTGGTAGTCGGGAGGGGAGGAAGGGCTGAGACCACCGGCGCTAACCGACAATAGATTGAATAAGAGAGCGGGGCGAGAGTATGAGGGGGAAATCGCCCACGCTGAAGCATCCGCTGACTTTTACTGTTTGGCTGCGTGATTAGAGTAATTATCGCGTTATCTAGGAAATAAGTATAACACAATTGCTCAAACGATAGCACTATAAATGTACCGAATAGTGCTTATGCGTTTGTCTCATTACAGCAGCCAACGTTTTATTATCATTATTTCACTGCCTTACAATCTACAACAATAAGTATTTATCTTGTATATATTATCATAGTATGATTATATATTTATTAAATATTCAAGTGTATTCAATAAACCTAATCAAAGGTTATAATTATTGTGCAATATAGATGAAATGTCATATAAAAAATTGCATTATATCTTCTAGTGCATCAGCAATATTCGGTATGACTCAAAATATCTCTCTTATGTAAGATATATCTCAGGTAGCATATGTTTGTTTCATATATGTTTCCTAAATATACATGAAAACATTGGTTATGTTTAGGAAATGTATATGAAATGAACATATGCTACTTGGGATTTTATGCAAGACTTTTTGTAGAAAATAACTGATAAAATATATAGATATTTTGTATGAGGTATAACATAAATTTTGATCACATAAATAACTCAAATAATTGATCCAAATCATCTTAATGTAAAAGAATATTTTTTAAGTACTCTATACATTACAAGGTAGAGAAAAGCAAATAACAAACATATATGGCAAAACTATATTTTTATGTTCTTAGTTCTTAGTTAAACAAAAAGCTGATGTATTGGTTGAGTAATACAATGTTAACAATTATAAAATGACAGTATAACTGTTGAATAACGTTTATATTGCACCTCATTAATATCAAGCATAACCTATGTTTTAGGTGTTTTTTATGGAATTTTTAGTAACAGATATCTTGATTAAAACAGATTTAAGTCAACATTAGCTTCATCAAACGAGGAGCTAAAAAGTGTCAATACAGTAAAATGCAAAATAAATGAAGACAAATCCAAGGTACTGTGATAATTCTGTGGCAAAATCACAGAAATCTTAATTACACTTACCACATGGTTTCTCGAGTTTCTAATGCTCTCTCGTCTGCGAACTCTCGTTTGATAATCGTTCAGACAACACAAATAATTATTCTCCTTGTAACAAAAGTCGTTTAACGACTTTCGTGACGTTTGAATACTTTTTCTCCGCGGTGCCATTTTGTCATTCAATCTTTTATGGTATGCAGTTATCGTCGGAGCGTGAAAGCAGAAACGGCAACCAGTAAACTTTCATGGATTGAGATTAAAGGATGAAGGGTTATTAAAATATATTTAAAAACTGTTTATGAACATAATCTAGCAATTTCGGCATAATACATAATTCATTAAGTATTATGAAATTTTCGAATTTCAAATAGTTGCTAGTAAACTACTATTATTGCAAGTAAACACCCTACGGCTTAGTTTACACCGATCGTTTAGTACGCGTACCAAGTATTATATTCGTACTAAATCTGCTTCTCCGATTGGTGTAAATCGTATTAAACGACCGGTGTGAACTAAGCCATAGAGCTTACGATCTGGGCAGTTATTAAGCCTGCATCAGACTATGGCTGCGTTCCGAAATTCACTGCCAGTACTGAAAATCTACAATATACGTGACGTAAACCATAGATTTACAGTACTGGCAGTGAATTTCGGAACACAGCCTATGCAACTTGTTTCAGCAATTCACAAACGATCTAGTAAACTATTAAAAATGCACCATACAACACAGTATTTTTAGCATTTTTAATAATAATAGATCAAAATCCGTTTAATCGAAAACGCTATTAAGTCAGTACAAGAAGACCAGGGCTGCGTTCCGTAAAGCGCATATGCACGCGTGTATCTATAGCATGCGTTATGTGTACTATAGCCGAGAGCACAAGCTTTTACATAAAGCATAACGCATAAGCATAAGGAAATTGATTGGTCTATATATAAGCATAAGCAAATGCATAAGGAAATGGACCAATCAATTTCCTTATGCTTATG